TTTATATCTCTCTATAAAGTATTATAATTTTCCTCAAAAAGTTTTATACATATTTTTACATGTTTTCCTAAGTATCTCATATTTTTGTTGCAATTAAAATAAAACTATTTTCTGGTTGACTAAGAATTTTTATCACGATTATGTATTGAATGTATCAAATGCTTTTTTTTTTCCTGTAACTATGGATTTCCTCTACTTTAACCTATGAATTATATTACCTTGCATTACTGGAATAAAACCAACTTAGTCCAATGACCTAAAAACATTTTTTTTTGCTAGATCTAGTTTGGTAATATTAGTATCTATATTCATAAGTGAGATGAGCCTGTAACTTTACTTCAGCATACTATCCTAGTCTGTTTTGGTATTAAGGTTATATCTTACTAAACAGATGCATAACATTAAGCACAACTATTCTTTTTCTAGTCTTTTGAACATTTTATATAAGACTTGAGTATCTGTTTCTTGAAATTATGGTAAAAATTATCTGACCTTGTGATTTCTCTTAGTAGATTGTGGCAGTTTTGTTAGATTATTTCTAACAAATTCTATTTTATTGAAGTTTCCAAATTTACTGGTATGTTTTCATGTAATTTTCTTCCTGTTTTTCAATCTGTGCTGTATTTATACTTCCTTTTTAATTAACATATTATGTCTTCATGCATTTTAAAAATCAATCTAAACAAGTATGTATCAGGAATTTTTACAAATCAAATTATATAAGATACCCAGCTGATTTTGATTAGGACCATATGCTGAGAAACAATAATCTAGAATGGCCCTGTCCAATGCCAAGGAGGCACTGAATTTTTAATTAAACATTTAAAAAAAAAAAATTTAAATAGTCACATGTGGCTACTGTCTATTGGACAGTGTAACACTAGGAGGTCTTTATTAAGACTTTAGTTGTTCTTAATGGCAATAATTTAATACACAGCCCATAATCTAAAACTTATAATAAGGTAATAAAATGTGCCAAAATTAGGCTAAAGAAAATTTGTGCACATTCTGTTCAGCATAATTCCACAAATTTTTCATGTGATGAACAACAGTAATATTTTTAGAAGCATGTAGGAGTGAAGAAGCTATGGAAATAAGAATATTTTCTCTCTCCTACATTAAGATTACTAGATCTTTAAAAAAAAAAAAAAACTACAAAGAAAATAATCTTTTTTTTTTTTTTGCGGTACACGGGCCTCTCATTGCAGAGCACAGGCTCCGGACACACAGGCTCAGCGGCCATGGCTCACGGGCCCAGCAGCTCCGCGGCATGTGGGATCCTCCCGGACCCGGGCACAAACCCGCGTCCCCTGCATCGGCAGGCGGACTCTCAACCACTGCACCACCAGGGAAGCCCAGAAAATCATCTTAACATTTGTTTTATCTTCAGTGTCTAGAAAGTAACAAGATGTTAAAAAATAGTACTAAGGATAAAAATTTGCAATGCTTACTTTAAAATTTTATACCCAAGTAACTCACTGGTGGAGTAGTTCTGAGATCTTTTCAGTTCTAGAGCTTAACTATACATTTCAAATTTCACTGCAGCCTGTCTCACGAAAGAGAGAACGCAGTTTTATACCACAGTGAAATGTATTGCCAGAGCAGACAGGGACCTTGCAAAGGACATAGCCAACCATGATAATGAAGAAATAAAAAGAAGGAAATGAATAAGACCCAGTTTTCCCTTTTCTAATTTGTGTATCACTTCTTATTTATGAAGTAATATTGTAGAACTTCTATCACTTGTAATGTTAAGGAATGTGCATAATCTTAAGTCATTTGGATCTGCAAATAACACACAAGGGATATGTTTTAATCTTGGAGAAAGAAACAATTTAAATGAGAACGTAAAATGTGGATTATATAGAACTATAAGTATGTGCTTGTATGCCAGATATTTGTTGTGTTTTCCTAAATGAAAAGCATATATGCATACATTACATAATTCAATTTTTAAAAATTCCTGATACATACTTCTGGCCTTTACAATCTTAAATTGCTTCCCTTGACCCTGCTCCCATTCTACATATTACAATCACAAATTATTTAGGAAAAGAATAGGTAAGCAGGTGGACAGGAAAGGATATGAGCAGATGGGACAGAAGGTGAGGGATAAATTATTATGGCCTATGTATTAGAATAAATTACTATAATTAAACAATTAACACTTACTTAAAGATACCTAACAAATAGTAGGGAACACTAGGTCTAAAAATTAAGTTGGTTTTATCAGTACAGATAGATGGAGGTTCAAGGTCCAAGAAGTTCTGTCAAACTGAAGTGTGGGAGAAAGTGCCTTCAACTTATGCAAAGAGATAAAGAGATATGAAATAGTAAGGTAAGGAGGGGAATGATTTATGAAAAGAATAAGTTAGTTGACAGTAACCCAATATAGCAGGGAAAGAAGTGATTATTCAATTATGAATCATTTTTTGTATTTTAATGATTCTGTTCTTATTTAATTTTTCTATACACCTTTCTGATTGCTTTTCAGCTTTTCATCTGACTAGTTACCACCTCAGCACACTTAACTGCTCAAAAATAGGTACTGGTAGGAATCCTTTTGAATAAAACTACCCACAATTCAGCATCACTAGAGTATCATTTTGTTTCTCCTTTAATCACAATTTCTAAAACTCAGAAGGCTCTTATTTTTTGATTAACCACAGCAGACAGATTTGCCTCTCATTTATATACATGACCTACTGTGACTGCACTTGGAAGAAATGCTTCCATGATGAACAAGCTGCCTCAAAGATGTTAGGTTGCCATCTTGGACTGAGTTTTTGGCCAATTTCCTTGGTATGATAATCCTTACAGTAACTTGCATGGCAATACTATGGAATATTTGATCCCTAAGAAAAAATTTTAAAAACCATTAAATAAGAAAGCAATCTTATAAGCTGGCTGTATCCTTTTCTTCACTGTACAATGTTCAAGCCAAATAAATGTGAGGCATTATCTGTGGATATCATAGTAGACATTGCACAATGCTAAAACTGCTTTGCCTTCCCTCTCTAGGCAGAGGCCCGTTTGCTGCCCCTGTAGTACACTGTGCTCACTCTTAATCAAAAAGGTTCAAAAAGATTCTTTTTCGTCCTGTCAGGCAAATCAGATCATTTCTAGGTATGGCCTCATCCTGATGAAAGTAAAAACTCATACCATACTCTAAGGACATCTTCCTGAAGCCTCAGGGCTTCCACTGCCACTGAATTTACTTGTTATCTTTCTCTTTTTATCACAAAAAGGGAGTCAGGATTTAGTTTGTGATTCAAAGATTCTGGTCACTGCCTGGGGTCATAGCTATTTCTGCCACTTACTAGGTATATGCCCTTGTGCAAGTTAAAGATCCTTCCTGTGCTAACACTGTCTATGAAAAATAAAAACTAAAGAGCACTTATAGCATAGTGAAGAATAAATGATAGGGCTTCCCTGGTGGCGCAGTGGTTGAGAGTCCGCCTGCCGATGCAGGGGACATGGGTTCGTGCCCCAGTCCAGGAAGATCCCATATGCCGCGGAGAGGCTGGGCCCGTGACAACGGGAGAGGCCACAACAGTGAGAGGCCCGAGTACTGCCAGGGGTGGGTGGGGGTCTAAGCATTTGTTAAACCTCAGTGAATGTACAATTAAAATTTGGGCATTTCATTTTATGTAAACTTAACTCAAAGAAAAACTATAGACAAATATTTAACTCTTCTTAATGAAATACATGCTGAAATATTTACGGTAAAGTATGCTGATGTTTGCAGTTTACCTTGAAATGCATCAAAAAATAAGAGACTAATGGATGGATAGAGGGTGGAGAGATGGATAAGTGATAAAAGCAGAGTAAAATGTTAACAGTAGAATCTTGGTGGTGGGTAAATCAGTGATCGCTGTAAAATTCTTTCAACTTGGCTTTATGTTTGAGGGAAGGAAACTACTACTTTTTCCATAAACTTTTGATCCCAAATTATGATTTACTTAAATTAAAAAAGAAAAAACAACCCTCTGGCATTCTTATATAAAAATCAATTACTTGCATTTCATTTATTGCTTTCTAAAAAGTTTAACCATGCGTGTAATCCAGGTAGTTACAGTTAATAAGATGACACATACACAAAAAGCAACTATTAGAATAAAGTAGGTAGAGACTTCCCTGGTGGCACAGTGGTTAAGAATCGGCCTGCCAATGCAGGGGACACGGGTTCGAACCCTGGTCCAGGAAGATCCCACATGCCACGGAGCAACTAAGCCCATGCACCACAACTACTGAGCCTGCACTCTAGAGCCCGAGAGCCACAACTACTGAAGCCCGAGCACCTACAGCCTGTGCTCCACAACAAGAGAAGCCTGCCTGCCCACTCTCCGCAATTAGAGAAAGCCTAAGTGCAGCAACGAAGACCAAATGCAGCCAAAAAAAAAAAGAATAGAGTAGGTAGAAAGAGAAGATAAAAAGCAAATGTAATTTTACTGTATGATAAATCTCCCTCAAATAGTTTTCTATTTATTGAATACCTCTCTCTAATGGTGCACTATTTTAAAAAATTTCAACTGCCTACACATTATTCAAAAGGTGCTGTTAATGGATTTAGTGCTGAAAATGCTTCAATTTGTCATTTCTGATGAGGGGATATCAAACGATCAGATGATTTTATTTTATATAGCTCAGACTTAAATCATGAGCAATAGATGGCGGTTAATGAACAAGATACGCAAATACATGTTGAGTTTCAAAAGGTTAGTTAAGTTAGGAGCTGCAACTTATCTACCTAACAAGGTTAAGCAATGTTTATAGCAAGAGAGCAGAGGTACAACAGGAAAAGAAAAGGGAAAGCTGGATGTGGGGTGGTAAGCGCTCCTGGGAATTAACTTCAAGTTGAAAGAATAATTGTTGGCACTTGTTGGAGCTTTACAGCTGGGTAAAATATTAATAATTATGGCTTAAGTAGGTATTGATAAGAAAATACAAAACGCTCCTTATGCATTTGAATAATAGTTTTTTTCAAAAAATTCACTTACTTGATTGTCATTTTCATTATCTTTGATAACCAAATACCTCAGTAAGTTTAATGAAGCCATTATCCTGTTAATTAAAAATATATAATTTGTTACATACAGTACAGTTTCATATAATCAACAATTTCAATGAATAAAGGTAAGTTAAAACCTTGGGTATAATTCCACAATTACGTTTGCCATTAGAAGCTTCTCCCTTTAAAATACCTTATCAGCAAATGACGAGGTGGCCAAGTGGTTGAGGCGATGGACTGCTAAAATATCTTATCACACATCTCACCCCCTTAACATAACGTATTACTTTTGTTCTCCAAGTTCACAAAATATAATTGTGAAAATTACTATTCGTTTTTCCCCCAAGGGAGACTTGTAATCTTTAATGTTCGAGAGTAGTCTTTTGTTTCCTGAATTTTAAGATTCCTTTGAAAAATGCTTACAACCGTTTCTCAACGTTCATTCGAGTGTACTGAAAGTAAAATTACATGTTGTATATGAAAAAAATAGATGTATGTCTTCGAAATAAAATCCAAACGTATAAGCCTTTTATAAGTTATATACACGAAATTCTTAGTGTTTAGTCACCAGTGCTATAGTCCCAAATCTCTATGAGCTAGGTACATCAAAGGTACAAAATCATACTGTTAGTCATAGTTCTGGAAAGGAGAATTTTTGATTGTTTTTATATAATATCTAATTACTTAAATATGAAAATCTTTATGTAATTTGATGAACTAACCATTGATTATAAAATCACAGAAAAATACGTTTTATTTTCGTTTAGGTTCCCAAAGCAGGAGTTTCACATTTTATTCTGAATTTACTACGTGAACCTTAGTAATGGTCACCTCACCTATCTGAGTTTTGCAGTAGATCTGTTTCAGCACCCTCTGGGAGAAAAAGTACCAAATCTAGAAGGGAAATCAGCTGCGGTCCTGTAAACCATTTGTTATATGTTCTCTGAGAAGCAAAAGAAAAATTGAGAAAGGCTTTAAATAATAGGTTGTTAGATATATGTGTTTTTCTAATACCTTGATACTACAAAAATAAGCTATTACACATTTAAAATATGTATTTTTAACTTTAATTTCCATTCTTTCATTCACTATTTCTGGACACCTAGTACAAACTCTGCTAGTTTGAAAGCACTGGTGTGCTCTTTCTCTGTTCTCTATATGGAATTACTGAGTATTCACAAATAGACTTCAGTTTCCATTAACATTTCACAAGTATACAGCAAAACAAAAAAGTCATATTATCAGTTTTAAAAATTAATACAATTTAAATCTATAGTTAACAAATTTCAAAATCCAGGTTTTTAAAAAAGAGTAGAAATGGAGAAAAAAATATACCGGCATACCTCATTTTACTGCACTTCCCTTTACTGCATTTTTTACATATTGAAGGTTTATGGCAACTCTGTGTCAAGCAACTCTATCAGCACCATTTTTCCAACAGCATTTACTCACTTCACATCTGTGTCACATTTTGATAATTCTCAAAATTTTCAAACTTTCATTAATATATATTTGTCATGGTGATCTGTGATCAGTGATCTCTGATGTTACAATCGTTAACTCCTTTGGGGCACCATGAACCACGCTCATATAAGACGATGAACTTAATCAAAACGTGCTGTGTGTGTGTTCCAACTGCTCCAATGACTGGCCATTCCCCCATCTCTCTCCTTCTCCTCGGGCCTCCCTATTCCCTGAGACACAACAATATTGAAATTAGGCCAATTAATAACCCCACAAAGTATTCAAGTGAAAGGAAGAGTCATGTATGTCTCATTTATCAAAAGCTAGAAATGATTAAGCTTAGTGAGGAAGCATGTCGAAGGCCGAGATAGGCCTCTTGTGCCAAACAGTTAAGCCAAGTTGTGAAGGCAAAGGAAAAGTTCTTGAAGGAAATTAAAAGTGCTGCTCCAGTGAACACATGAATGATAAGAAAGTGAAACAGCCTTATTGCTGATATGGAGACAGTTTTAGTGGTCTGGATAGAAGATCAAACCAGCCACAACATTCTCTTAAGCCAAAACGTAATCCAGAGCAAGGTCCTAACTCTTCAATTTTATGAAGGCTAAGAGAGGTGAGAAAGCTGCATAAGAAATGCTTGAAGCTAGCACAGGTTGGTTCTTGAGATTTAAGGAAAGCAGCCATCTCCAGAACATAAAAGTGCAAGGTGAAGCAGCAAGTGCTGACATAGAAGCTGCAGTAAGTTATCCAGAAAATCCAGCTAAGGTAATTAATGAAGGTAGCTATACTAACCAAAAGATTTTCAATGTAGATGAAAACAGTCTTACACTGAAACAAGATGCCATCTAGGCTTTCACAGCTAGAGGAGCAAATTCCTGACTTCAAAGCTTCAAAGGACAGGCTGAGTCTCAGAGTAATACAGCTGGTGGCTTGAAGTTGAAGCCAATGCTTAAATTTTACCATTCCAAAAATTCTAGGGCCTGTAAGAATCATGCCAAATCTACTCTGCCTGTGCTGTATAAATGGAAGAACAAAACCTTGATGACAGCACATATGTTTATAACATGGTTTACTGAATATCTTAACCCTACTGTTGAGACCTACTGCTCAGAAAAAAAGACTACTTTCAAAATATTACTGCTCACTGACAATGTACCTCATCCCCCAAAAGCTCTAATGGAGATGTAAAATGAGATTAATGTTGTCTTCACGCCTGCTAACACAGTATCCATTCTGCAGCCCATGGAAAAAGGAGTAATTTCAATTTCAACTTTAAAGTCTTATTCTTTAAGAAATACATTTCATAAAGCTATAGCTGCCATAGACAGTGATTCTTCTGATGGATCTGCACAGAGCAAATTGAAAACCTTCCGGAATCATTCCTAATTCATGGGGAAAAGGTCAAAATATCAACCTTCACAGGAGTTTGGAAGAAATTGATTCCAACCCTCAAAGATGACTAGGAAGAGCTCAAGACTTCAGTGGAGGAAGTAACTACAAATGTGGTGGAAATAGCAAGAGAACTAGAATTAGAAGTGGAGCCTGAAGATGTGACTGAATTGCTGCAATCTCAATGATAAAATCTGAACGGATGAAGAGTTGCTTCTCATGGGTGGGCAAAGAAAATTGTTTCTTGACACGGAATGGACTCCTGGTGAAGATGCTATGAAGACTGTTGAAATAACAACAAAGGATTTAGAATATTACATAAACTTAGTTGATACAGCGGTGGCAGAGTTTGAGAGGATTGACTCCAATTTTCAAAGAAGTTCTACTGTAGGTAAAATGCTGTCCAACAACACTGCATGTTACACAGAAATCATTCGTGAAAGGAAGAGTCAATCTGTGTGGCAATCTTCATTGTTGTCTTATGTTAAGAAATTGCCTCAGACACCCCAACCTTCAGCAACCACCACCTTGATCAGTCAGCTGCCATCAACATTGAGGCAAGACCCTCCACCAGCAAAAAGATTACAAGTCACTGAAAGCTCAGATGGTGGTTAGCATTTTTTAGAAATAAAGTACTTTAAAATTAAGGTATGTACATTGTTTTTTATAGATATAATATTGCACTTAACAGACTAAAATATAGTGTAATTAAGTTTGATATGCACTGGGGAAACCAAAAAATTTGTGTGACTTGCTTTACTGAGATTTTTGCTTTATCATGGTGGTCTGGAACTAAACCCGCACTATCTCTGAGGTATGCCTGTACCCTAATACTAGAGATATAAAACGTCCACAGAGCAAAATTCCACATTAATAAATTCCACAAATGAATAAATATATCCTACAAAATAAATTGATAAATGACACCTTAGTTATGCTCTTACCTTTAATGACATGTCAATTTGATTTTTGATATTTTGAATAATAAAGGCCTCCACACCTGAGTGATTACTTGTATTCAATAAGCACCTTTAAAGCAAAATTACAATACATTTGAAATTATCTAGGCTGCATTATAATTAAATGATAATGAAAGTTTTACAAATTCAAATGGGGCATGTGCTATTTCTAGGAATACAAAAACCAGTGCATACAATTAGCAAGGTGATCAACCAATTACAAAGTCACCTATTATGATTTCTGCCCTCACTAACTGGCAAATTCTATTTTAACTGGGTCTTTCCGACACGAAATTTCTATTAAACCAAATTTGAATCTTTTTATGCATATAGTTGCAATGATTTAACATGGCAAGGATGGTCACTAGTGTAATAGCCTAAAAACTCCCCAAATTATTCCCTGTTAGACTAGTCTGGTTAGACTAACTTAATTGCAAAGAAAGGAAACTCAGTAATGAGCTTAAGAAGAAGGGGGAGATTTTGGGGTAGGAATACAGGTAGATCAGAATAGGAAGCTGGTAGAAGACATAAGCATCAAACTGAGGTTTCATAAACCTGCTATGACTCTATCAATAGAAATGAAAAAAAGATAAAATCAAGAGTGCTAGTATTGGCCAATCCCAAAGAACACTCCTTAGCACTCTGACATTGCCCCAATTTGGTTTTAACTCATTTTTATTACCTAGGTATCAACAAACTAAGGTCTGCAGGCCAAATCTAGCCTATTGCCTGTTTTGTTTTATTGGAACACACTTACCCCCACTACAAAGTTGAGCAGCTGCAACAGAGACCGTGTGGCCCACAAAGACTATACTTACTTATGGCCCTTTAAAAAAGTTTGCTGATCTTCAACTCAGAGAGTTGCTAGAATCTTTTCCTCCTCAAACCGTACTATTAATAAGCTCCACTGTTAAAGTGGATATAGCCTGTCAAAAGTTATAACTCCAGGGCTTCCCTGGTGGCGCTGTGGTTGAGAGTCCGCCTGCCGATGCAGGGCACACGGGTTCCTGCCCCGGTCCAGGAGGATCCCACATGCCGTGGAGCGGCTGGGCCCGTGAGCCATGGCCACTGAGCCTGCATGTCCGGAGCCTGTGCTCCGCAGCAGGAGAGGCCACAGCAGTGAGAGGCCCTCGTACCACCAAAAAAAAAAAAAAAAAAAAAAAAGTTATAACTCCAGAGCCATTAATTTCAACTGTGAATAATGGACATTATTGACATATGTAAAGCTCTAGCAGGAGCCCCACCAATCTCAGTTTAATCTTCTAAGTCTATTTTAATTTTAGAGTATTTCAATTAAACTGAAATATATACTATTATTCATGTAATATATATTTATATATGTATCCATAATTTTTGATTAACCCTTCACTACCTATCACAGAGAAGAGAATTTATTATGATATGGCTTCCAGGTAGAGAAGAATTACATGTAAAACATACCGAAATACAGTAACCTAGAATAATTAATGGCATTAATTTGGTTTTTAATCAACCACACATTTCGCAATTAACCATTGATACATACCTAAATAAAGTATATTTGCCTTGTGGATCCAACTTGTTAATATACAGCTGAAGCATAGCTAAACCCTTTTTCCTCTAAAATGGAACAAATAATATTGTTATATAAACTAAAGATTATTTATTAAAATTTCTCATTGTAACTCATTTAGTTCCAGACATTTACATACCAGTGTCTCAGTGGGGCAGAGTGTCATTACTTTGACTAAGCCCTGGAAATTAAAAAAATTTTAATTCAAACGTTAGATTATATTGACTACAAAGAAACAACTATATTATCAATGGACACCAAAAATTCAGAGAAATGAGGGCAAGAGATTTAAAGATGAAGTAAATTTTTCCCCGAGCCTTTCATTCTACTGTTTTGTCTACAGGGAGCTTAGTACAATCCATTTTGTAAGTGCTATTGAGTGGGTGTTACAAAGTATATCGTTAGAAGTAATTTTCAATTATGTCTAGAGTGGCAAAAAAAATGAAACCGAACATACAGAAATATAATCCATTAATTTAAAATAATCAGGCTTATTATACTAACAAAAGCCATATTTTTCTATTTAAATAGTGGAAAAACAATTTTCTACATTGACATCTAAGGTAAGACCTACTTGGCTATGATAACTAACAAACAGTATAACTAATAAACAGGCAAAATAAATCACAGGAGGGAAAAAAAAATGTCTTTGTAGTAATGAGTTATACACGCCTTGATGGAGTTCTGAGGACTTGAGTTATGAAGAAAGTAAAGGAGGGCTTCCCTGGTGGCGCAGTGGTTGAGAGTCTGCCTGCCGATGCAGGGGATGCGGGTTCGTGCCCCGGTCTGGGAGGATCCCACGTGCCACGGAGCGGCTGGGCCCGTGAGCCATGGCCGCTGAGCCTGCGTGTCTGGAGCCTGTGCTCCGCGGCGGGAGAGCCCACAACAGTGAGAGGTCCGCGTACCGCAAAAAAAAAAAAAAAAAAAGTAAAGGAGCTTCATTTTCCAGGGTTTCTACAGAACCAAAGTGTTGAGGACACAAGTTATATTTTTCCACTAGATGCTATGCTGTCAACTATAGTAGCCACTAGCCACATACAGCTATTTAAGTTTAAATTAATTTAAATTAAATAAAATTTAGAATTCAGTTCCACATTTCAAGTGAACATCTCAAGTGTTCAATGTGGCTAGTGGCTTTCAAACTGTATGGCACAGATAATAGGACAATTTTACTGTCACAAAAAGTTCTATTGGACAGCAAGGCACTAGAGTTTTCAAAGGATATGGAGAAGAAAGTGGGAGAGGAGTCTGAAAAGCCCTTTACTTAAGTTCAGAATAGGAAAGGGGCTTTTTTCAAGATTAGAATACATATTTTACTTACCTGAGGTACAGTAAGAAAACTCTTGATTTCTAAGTACTGGTGAAGTAGACTGTTGTCCTCTATTCTCAATAAACCATTCTCCAACAGATACTACAGATGAAAATATACGCAGAGATACATATATGGTAAAGTCAACAGCTGTATTTGTTAACATGACTATGTATTTAAATTATAATGGGTGCAAACAAATCTTACCAATCCTTTGGAGAAAACAGACTCCTCTGTTCTGGAAGAGAATATTAAAATTTATCAACATGGTTTTCTAACTTGCTTTAGAATTATTCTTCATCTTAGGAAAAATAAAGCAAAAACTGAAATTTAAATACTTAAAAAATACATATTAAGGAGAAATTCTATTGAAGAACCTAGTCAAAATTCTTAACCCACCTTTGATCTGTCTTTTGATTTGGCTACTGATATCCAAATCTAACCAAAAGCAGCCCATTCAGGGCTTATTTCAGATCAGCAGATCAGCAGATCTTCAACAGTAAGTGCTAAGAAATCAATTATACCTGATATAATACTAAGTATTCTAATTGATTAACCGGTAAAATCTTCTCAATTCTTTATATATATATATATATATATATATATAAAAATTAATGCTTTCCATTTGTGATTATTAAGTTTTACAATCACTGTTAACTAAATATTGAAGATCTGTGGCAAAAAATATTATCTCAGGCTCCAGGTTCTTATTCTAACCATACAAGGAATTAAAAATGTTATGTTTTTTGGCTCAATGACTAAACAGTTTGGAAATCTTAAGACTATAGAACTTAAGATTGAAATCAATACATATTCTCATTTTATGAATATAACAGAAGCTAAATAAAAATGTAAAATCATTAAGACATACATAATACAGTAAATTTACAGAGTTAATAACTACTTATGCCAGGAGACCCTTGGAAATTCCTGCCTTGTAGGCTGAGGCTTTGGACATTTGCCATGTTACAAATCTTCCTTCACCTGGGAAGAGATGGGATTAATAAACTGTCACCAGTATTCCTAGAGGATAAGGCCCTGACTGATCTCAAGAGATAATTTAAACATGTTACAGAAAAAGAAAACAAAGCATATAGAGTTTGGAAAAATTCTTAAATATCTGTCTGGGAAAACTATGCATACCTGTTACTTGGTAATTTTTTTTAAAAAGAGGAAGTCTTCCTTCTTATTAGTGCCTCAAATGAGAAAAGCTATTGAATGATATCACTATCAATAATCTAAGTTATAAAAGATGGAGTTAAGACACTTCCTTCCTTTTGATGCAGTTCACAGATTGTGTCCATGAAGCAAAACCAAGGATGAATTTCTTTTATTGACCACCCCTCCTTAGATCGGACGAGGCTGCATTGGGATAGAGATGGTTTAATTTATCAACTTCTGAAATAAGCAAAGAAACCTTAGAAGCAGATGACTGGAAACCTCCTTAGAAGACAATATTTTAAAATTATCTTTAGTTTAAAATAAGAGGTTTTGTTGTAAAAACCTCCTTGGTTCATTTCTATCTCTGCTGTGAATATCTGCTTCACTATTTTATAAAATAATCAATTAATTAACTAGGGTCTGGCAAAGAGAAAGTAGTCTCCCCTGATCTTGACAAGGACTATTTTAACATTACTATTTAATTCTGAGATGCCATCTAAATGATCTTACCTTTGTAAAAGGACTTCAATATGCCCCATATTAAACTGCAAAAGGTATGATGGGCTAAAATAGAAAAAAAATGTATATATAAACACACACACATATACACGCACTTTTAGTTTTACATACATAAATACTGTTATGGGTTGAATTGTGTCCCCTCAAGAAAGATATGCTGGGGCTTCCCTGGTGGTGCAGTGGTTGAGAATCTGCCTGCCGATGCAGGGGACACGGGTTCGTGCCCAGGTTCGGGAAGATCCCACATGACGCGGAGCGGCTGGGCCCGTGAGCCATGGCCGCTGAGCCTGTGCGTCTGGAGCCT